GGGCTTGTGGCAACCACATGTGACGAACCCGGGCTGGACTCGGCTTCGTCCACGGTGAAAACCGATCCGGCGATCCACAGCGCGAAGTTGATGTATTTCCTCAGCGACCAGCACGGATCAGCTCCAGGCATGACGAAGCGGATATCGTCCTCTTTTGGAAGACCAACCAAAGTAGTTTCGCTTTCACAACGAAACAGTGCCTTCACGACATGGCGGCGGCAACAACAATACTACAGCGAGAATAAAAGTTACACCTTCTTTCTTTGTGTGAACATTTGGGCGGCGTTATGCAAATCTTCCCACATAGTGACGTAGATATGTGGGGGCGTGTTAGAACGAGCCGTTTTAGGTAGGCGTGGTTGAATCTTAACTTTTATAAAGAATATCTCTTTGGATTTGAGACTTTAGTCTTTGCAACTTTACAGATCTTCTTTATGCACCAAGAGCTTGTAACACTCCAAAGAGAAATTTAAATCGTATCATATGACCCCTTTCACAAATGGTTTAAGACATGTCTGATTCCTAGCACTGGAATATGCCTGTTTTAACTGGAAATATCAACATAGTTTAGAAAATTCTACAAATATAGTATTGCTTTTTTGTCTAGTAGTAACTGATAGATGTGGCAAATATTTTAGAATTATCAGTGACTTTTTTTTGTTGAAACTTTTGGATGTTTCCTTGTCTGCTGCCTGATATGACAGCTCAAGATTGTCACTAGTGAAGGATGTGTGACTGGCTACATTATTATGTTATTATGTATGATGCTTTATGAGTTCCTGCGGCACCAGGGTGATTGGTCACATGACATTTATGGCGCACTTGATTGGCTCGTAAAAACCTGTAGCCCAGAACTAAGCACCCATGACCAAATCCCTCTGAGTTTTAGCTACTTTGTTGCTTAAATGCTTTTTTTTTCGCTATGTTGTGCTCTGCTGGGTCTCTCTCATCCCCTTAATTTCACTCTATTTTTCTCCCTAATTTGCCATCACATTTTCCCATTTTCTATTTCCCCTACTGTTGCTTATGTGTTTATGTATGTGTCTCATCAACTTGGATATAATCCTGCTGCAAATTGCATGAAGCAAGCATTTTACTGTCAGAGGTTTAATGCAGTGACACCAAACGTGCATGTGTGTGTGTGTGTGTGTGTGTGTGTGTCAGAGAAGAGAGCATGCCTGCACTGTCAGTCGCATTGGCCTCTTAAAGAGAAACCTCTGCTTTTCTGTTGTCTCTCTCTGCAGTGCCGCCCTCTCTCCTAATCTCTCACTCACCTACTTTCTCTGTCTCTCTTTCTCATTGCGGTTCATCTTTCTGCAGATCTTGCGTTCTTTCAGCCTGCGTGTCTGTTTGTGTGTGTGTGGCGGGATGGAGTCAGAGCAGGTTCATGTCGTGCTATCAGTGAGTCCGAATATTACAGTCTACGTTTGCCACTGACACCGGCCTAAATTAAATTAAAGGAGGAAGACATCATAGAGAGGACTGGTATTCTGTAAGTCACATCTTGGAGAGGCTTGTGTGTGGTTTGTTTCAGGCTCATGCCTGTCAATAACACTGTGTGTTTTTTCTAGGCTGGTTTGGGGACTTTGTCTGTCATGCAAGACCTGAGGAGCGAATCGGAACGTCTCAATGAGATCAAGGGTCATTTGGAAATTGCCTTACTGGAGAAACACTTCCTACGTGAGTACTGGAAAAATATCTGTGCATGTATTCTGTGTATGATATATGGAGTATAAAGCTGAACAGAAGTTGGGATGCCCTTTATGTATATGCACAGTGTTTCATTCATACCTACAGGTTATACTGTAGTAAGACTGGGCTCAGCATGGGTTGTATACCATAACAAAAATTTACCACGGTATGATATCATCCTTTTCAGTACCTGACCCAAATGACCTTGTGCTGCACTAATGTGAGTGAGAAGTTAGCACTGTAGCTTACTTCAACTGTTTATTTTAATTTGTATGATTTATGAAGCCTTTACTATATGACCATTATTCTTAAAAAATACTTCTGGCCAGGGTCAGAAATTAACAAGGGCTTGTGGCAAACATGCAACTGGAAATTACAAAAAAAACAAAAAAAAAATACACTTGATATTTAACATTTTGTGGGGAAAATGCCACCGTACTGAATTCCTTAAGGTTGGTTTTATTACGTTTAATATATTTCATAATATTTTATTCTAGGGCTGTCTCTTTGAACAGAAGGTTTTGTTCAGAATTTCATTTAATGAATTCAGTAGAGCTTTTGTCATAAATTGATGAGATTTTCATCTGTCATAAAAATGTCCCTGAAAATCAATTCCAGAGGTCAAATATTTAATATAAACATCATTTTATTACATCAGTCTGAATTCTTATTGCACGAGCCACATTTAAAGCTGCTGTAAAATAGCCGATATATGCTCACCACTGATTGCACATGAGTTTTGAAGAAGACTGTGTCTTATGTCTTTTCTTTATTTTAAATATATAGCATTTCAGTTTAAATTCAGGGCTCAGTTATGATCCAACACTCTGGTTTGTTCTTGTATGTCTCTTCTTTGCGTTTTCATGTAGGTAACGTATGTTAGTCTTCAGTTGTGTGAATGGCTGCAATACTTTTTTAAACTCTTCTAGATATATGCTTCATTATACATCATGGTGTGTTGAAGGTTTACTGTGGTGACAAACTTTTAGCAGATAAATTGTAACCTCTGTATGACAGTGGGGATGTGTTTATGTGGTCATTTTACCACATGGCTTGTTTACACCAAGAACACAGCTAAAAAAGTTGTGCCACATTTATTGGTGCAAACAAATTACAAATGTTACCTAATTTTGGACTGAATATCCTGATCACCCTGAGTATGTGGATGTGTGAGAGAAAAATAATTTGTGGTACTTGTGTTTGGGTGTTGTTGAACGTTTGCAATCTTTTTTATGTGACGGAATGTTAGTACTATGATAGTAATAATTAAAACACCCACACTCTGTGGATAAAATGTTCTTTCTGCAGTTCCCATGAGAAAAACTGCTTCATGACGGAACTAAATAATGTCTTTATTAAATGGATAATTCAGCCAAAAATGAAATAAATAAATAAGTCATCTACACGACTCTGTATATCAAGCCTTCTGAAATCTTCATTGTGAGGAACAAACCAAATTTAACTTATTCACTGATACTCCTTCTCTCTTTAGTGCTGCTCACTAAATGAAATCAAAATCAAGATGATTCTGAAAACATAATCTATTTTGTGAACTGGATCAACTGATTCACCGAAAAGATCAGACTGAATGAATCATTCACAAGTGCATCACTTCTCTCATGAATAGCCGAAAAGAGCTTAGACTGGTCTCAAAATGTTCAGTGAATAATGACTTAAATAACTTGTATGGCTTATGAAGACTCTAGTACTTGACTCTTATGGACTATTTCATTTATTGCACCTTTATGTCCTTTTTGAAGCATGAAAGTATAAGTGGAAGAAACATACGACTTTATTCAACAATTCGTCTCCTCCTCCAGGGTGACGCGGAGGAGACGAATTGTTGAATAAAAATTGTTGAAGAGTATTCTCGTAGCTTCGTAAAATTACGGTTGAACCCCTGATGTCACATGGATTATTTTACCGATCTCCTTGCTACCTTTCTGGACCTTGATCGTGGTAATTACATTGCTGTCTATGGGAGGGTCAGAGAAGCTCTCAGAATTGATCAAAAATATCTTAATTTGTGTTCCGAAGATGAACGGAGATCTTGCGGGTTTAGAACGATATAAGGGTGAGTAATTAATGACAGAATTTTCATTTTTGGGTGAACTAACCCTTTTAATGTAATTACAGTTATTCACCGTATATAGTACAGAAACTTACTGTTAACCAGTTAACAGGTTTTTACTGTAGAATTTTACAGTCTTTAACTGTTAAAATCACATCCATTTTTACAGTGTAAGGGTATATACAATATAATTAGCTCAGTATAAAAACAATAGTTAATAGGCAGTCTATTCCCTGACAGGAAAACAATTAAATATGCGTGTGGGGGGAGTGATATGATCATTGTGTACATGACTGCAACAGTAAACATCGGAATGACATATGAACAGCAACTGAAGGTCATTAGTGAATGACACAGTCACAATCAAATGTTATATAAACCTAAGTGTGCCACTGTCAGCAGACTCCCACACACAGGAGAACCCATACATGAGCTCTGCAGAGGAAGTGAGACAGCACACACAAGCTAGAGGAAAATGAATGGGGAGAGAGAAATAAAATATGAAGCAGGAAAGGGATTACGGAGTGAAGCTGCTGGAGCATCGGGATAAGCAGTGTTATAGTCATGTCTGTGAGCTCTGATGCATTTCCTTCCAGAGATGTAGCACATAAATGTGAATGGGAGAAATTTTAACACTAGAAATTACAACGCTGTAGTATTACCTCACTTAAAAGAGTCAACTGCTGTTTAGATCAAATTTAGAGTTTGTTTTCTCTTGAACACACATGAGATTAGCCTGACCAGATCATAGTTTTTGTGCCAAAGCTATAAAAGCTGTATTTGCTTGACTAGGGAATGCATTCCCTGGGAACTCGAACCATGACTTTGGCATTGCCCTTCTGGACTGCTTGAGCTACAGGATGTAATAATATACCTTATAATGACAATAGATTTTCTAAATGAAAGACTTGGCATGATGTGTCTTAAGCCATCGTTTTTTTGATTGAACCCAAGTTTGCATTGAATTGAACATGAATGAGATTTAAGCGCTTGTTTGAGGCCAAGATTTTCTTAAATATTTGACTGTTCATCACACAAAGCTATCGCCTCTTGAAATGTAGAATCCTATGGCCTGCTTTTACAATGCTTTTATTGTGCTTTTCTGTCATTTCTGGACTTTGATAGTGCAAATCACTTTTCTTTTTTTTGGGGAAATTCATCTATTATGTTTCATGGACAAGAAAATCATGGGTTTCCTTTCCTCTTGTCCTTCTCCTCCTGTTCATTCAACTAAGTACATTTATATTTTACATTGATGCATTTGACTATCCAAAGTGACTTGCATTAAATTGAACCCATCTTGCTGTTGCTAGCATCATGATCTATCAGTTAGGCTCAAGATATTATTGATGGGAGTGTGTGTGGAACAGATGCTGAGTTTGACACTCAGCTGACATCAATTCCTACCTATGACTGAGAGTCTATTTTAAGTGTGTGTGTTTATCCCGTGTGTTGCCGTCTTATTGCTCTGACCCATTTAACACTGCATTACCAGTCATCGCAGAGTAGTTGTGCTGACATCACAGACATTTCCTGTTACACTTTTGTCTTCATCTTTCTAGACCTTAGATATATACACAATACATTTTAATACAAGTTTAAATATGCATTGTTTAACTAAATAGTTGATAATGATAATTGTGAATTTCCTTTTTCCTTTTTATTTTTATTTATTTTATTTTATGTATTTATTTATTTATTTTTGGAGGGGGATTATGGCTTTGATAAGTGACCTACAAAAAGGTTTACATTACATTTTGAATATTAGATTCAATGTGTTGTCAGACTTTTGAACCTCACTTTATATATAATGGTTTTCTGATGTGATTTATAGACATGATTGATGATTCATGGCAGCATGTGTGTCTGTTGCAGTGTCATAGTTCTATGTCCGTTAGGGTTAAGTAATGAGATTAAGAGATGAAAAGTTAATCGCCTTCTCTCTGGCAGCACACACCGAAAACACACAAAACCCACACACGAAAATACTGATTCTGTATTATGTGAAAATGGACTACATTTAAGCTGAATGCTAAGTTTCAGAGTTGAAATGTTTATCAGAACTGCACATTGTTTAGTGCATGGAAGCTCAATTGTCTGGGACACAAAGAAAATCCAAAGATTTATCTGAGGCCTGGGTTTTGAAAACTACTCTTCACAATATCCATAACATATGACTGGGAATATGTGTTACATAACAGTTCCTAATGAATACACATCAGAGCTGAGGATTCCTTTTCCTGCATTATTTACTCTCAATGTCCCAGCCTTAACAGCAGACTGCTCTAAATTAGCTATTCTCTTTACTATTATTTATATCCCATGTTTTCTGTCTCGTATTTCCCTTTCCTCCCTCCACACAGTAGACATCATGTTTTGTTAGGTTTCCAGAAAGAAACTAGAACAGGCGATAAAAATAATTTATAGTTTTTGCCAAAATTGTTTGATGCGTAGTTTAAAACAATCACAAACAAATTTTGTTTTACATAAAATAAGACCAACCAAATATCAGTACAATTTGTTTTGTTTTGTACGACCCATGTATTATCATCTTGTAAATTTTATAGTGTGCATGAATTTCACTGTAGAGTGTAACAGTGCCCACCCCCTTTTTCAGCAGGGTTGGATCCAGACAGTTTTTTTCCCCCCATTATTTGACCCATAGGGATTTTTAAAAAGTCTTTGTTAAAAGCCATGAACCAAGCCAACCAGCCACGAGGTTAATCATTACATTACAAACTTCAGTTTGAAGCAAAAAAAATATTAGAAAATTGTACAAAAATAAAAAGATACAAGACTGTGTACATCACAGCTTTTTTGAGTGAAAGGACTGCGATCCCATGAAGCATTATATATAGTGTTTTTCTGTCAATATGGGGTGCTGTGTGTACATTAATGAGGAAAAAAAATTAACTTA